AAAACAGGCAAAACATCCACATCAAATCACTTCTGAAGACAACCAGAAATTGCGCAGCTGGGATATCTTTTCGAAACATTTGACACTTTGTCAAGGAAACAACCGCCTCCCTTAACTCCTTGCTTTGATACATGAAGCTGAAAGTCAGGTCCGTCTCTCGCGTGCAAAACCACAATATAACCTTCCTTCAGCACCTCGCCAGATTTCTTCTTATTCCCTGTGCTTGACTCAACAGGCGTTTTCCGGGACCTTAAATTATCGGGAGAAGCAAAATGTGAACTTGAACTCAGCACTTGACCACAGCCACTCAGACACCCGTCTTCCTCTCTGTACGAAGTGCTCTCTTTTCCAAAATTGTCGGCTTTATTCTGAGATTTTTGGCAGCCGTGCCTCTTTTTTGCCTTCTTACTCAACCTGCTACGCTGTGTTTCAGATCTGTTTGACGTGCTTTGGGACAAAACATAGTCTTGATTATGGGAAGAATTTCCCGTTGTCTGGTTTGAGAGCCTCTCCTTAGAACTTTTGGCTACTAGCTGGATTTCTTCAGTCAGTCTATCATCAACTGAATCTTTTAATGAAGTTTCGCAGGCCAGTGCAGGGCTATTATTCTCGTACTTGTCCTCTTGTTCCACCTCGTCTTCCTCGTCTGACACAGCATCCTTGGGGATGATATAATCGATGAAAAACTACTGAAGTATGAAAATCGCCTTCTCTCTTATCTCAGTCGATACTTCTTCACTGTAGTCTGCACTCCGGGGAAGTATCAGGACATTGGGCATCTCTCGAAGCTGAGATCAAATCGAAGTTTTACAGTATTTTAGTTGAAGCAGAAAGAAGAAAGTGACAAGTCCTAGAATCTACAATTTCCTTATGTTATGTGGTACTTATATATGCTAGGCAATTGCAGTAAACTCCGGGAAAGACTACTCTTGTAATGTCAATGTAAGTATTCCCACAATTTTTAACTAACGTGATTACATGCCAAATAAGAAGTATGCAATACTAGGATAATGATTTAAGCATGATTTTATGTTGCTTTTAGTTTTTCACAGTTCAGAGGTTATTCCCAAAATCATTTTGGAAAAAGCAGATATGCTAAGTTCCAAGCAAGCCCAATAGTAGTTAAAACGAGCTAATCAACCATGGACATATAAAAGCCTCCACCATGACAAACAAATGATCCATGCATGGATGCTCTGCTTACTCTCACTAATTTGCTATCAATATAAAAATATCTTACTCTAGATCCATGTGCATATGGTACAACATGCATTTCTGATCAACCATCCTTCAATGGATTGCCCTTGAAGCCTGAACAACAACTCATGCTACATAAATAAGCTCTATAGAGTACATACTACAAATTTGATTCATTCATTTCTTATAAACCTATCTAATTTAGCCCTAAATGTTCATAATGGCTGCTATAAGAGATAAGATTGTTAAACGGAGAGGTATTACTTGCTTGAAGAATATAGAACTATATACATTTAAATCCACAATAACATCAATATGCAAAATCAGAATAGATCATCTTGGGCAACATATCAGTTCCACAAATTAATTCACATATAGTTCTATGGCAATGATACAACATAAATGACTAGATCTCTAGAGAGAATCAAGGAATTTCATTGTTAATTTTAAATAAGGTAGAGAACGCCTTTATGTGCCCAGAAGCCTCTTAAAGCATACCAGAAAAGTGAAAAGGTATTGCCTCACTCAATCCCAATTAGAGTCCCCCTACCAAAGAGGGTAAAAGACAAACAAATAATGAAGTAGAAACCTTTAGATGAGGGAAAGTTACATCCTAAAATAAGACAATAAAGCACAAAAGCCATGTCATTCTATGACACAACATCGTCACAAGCAATGGCTAAATTCTGAAACAGATTCTAATGCATGCATGCATTCATACCCTAAGGTTATAATCACCATACCCATGCTTCCATCCATTGTGGTCTTTCAGCACCATCCAGAGCACAGCCAACGAGTGTGCCGTCAATCAAAAGTTGCTTCACAGCACAATCCTCTAGTAGTTGGCTGCTCCCAGTATTTACAAGAAATGCCCCTTTAGAAAAGTATGGCCTCATGAGAAATATAGTAAACATAAAGCATTGAGAAATCATCATGAAAAACTTCTGAACACTCACCAGACTTTATATGTTGCAAACAATCCGCATTGATGATATGCATTGTATCATTCGTCAGGGCACAATGTAGTGATATGAGATTACTTGCAGCAAGCAAATCGTTAAGTGTATCCATTCTTCTGGCTGCAGTTGGGAATCTCAAGGAAGATCTACTTATATTACCATTTTCGTACATACAATAAAGGGAACAAAATTTTGTTTAAGAGATAAAAAGAAGTAAAGCAACATACACATAAAGTACATCTTGTTGAATATTATTAATATCACCAACAGAAAATCTATTCCAAACTAAACATTTGAAAATGGTTCTTTCTTTTCTCTTCAAAAATCAATTAGCCACCAATAATGTTGATGTTAGTTGTAATCCAAACTTAGTGCATCACAAAACATAACCAGGCATGATCTAGCAGTGATCTAACAAAAAATATCCACAAGAACTCATCACAACCAACGAAAGAGGAAGAAAAAGAAGAAGAAAGAAGACACAAAGACCTCTAATTTCATGGTCCAACACAACCAAAGCCATGATTAATGTTTTACATACAATAGCAAGCAAAAAAATTTCCACGGATGAGATATGCAATTTTACACAAAGTTCAATAATATAATAAATAATTTTCAACATGAAGACACGTAGCATCAATTATATACGAATCAGACAAGCTATTACACACAACATCCAATACTATAATAAATAATTTGTCAACATGAAAAACAAGTAGCCATCAATTGGCATACTTCTTTCCGAAAATTATCATATAACAAAAAAAGAAAAAAGTAGATTACACAAGAAGCGCACACTTAACGCCATCCTACAGAACACAAATTAAAATTTCCAAAACCACAAGCCATATATATGAGACATTACCATGAAAACAGATCAAAATTTGGCATGAACACCAGACATAAACTATCTTCCTATTTCACATTTCCACCAATGAAGAAAAAAATACTCAAATGTCATACTATATAATACAACATAAACAAAAGTATGACATTTCATAGTATAACTATATATTTCTGTCAAAGTGTATGGCTGCTCAACAGTAGCATTTGTGTTAAAACAAATATATACAGCTAAAACAGTTGATACGTTAGCAAAAAACGGAAAAGGAAATAAAGAAAGACACTTTCATAAACTGCACCCCGAAAATAAAACAATTTTTTATTTAAGATTTTACTAATGTGGCCGTACCTCCTAAACATCAAAATACAGCACGCTCATCTTAAATGCCAAGATCCTGCTAGCCCAGATGCAGATCTACCAACAATCATAGTACCAAACCCCGGCACCGCCGCATTCCGCGGCAGAGCGGTTGCACGGAGCCGAGCCACCCCGAAGCTGAGAGTGCGTGCGCTTGAGCAGCCCCAAAATGAGCCCCATCACTGTATCGGCCACCTCCTCGGCCTTGCTCACGTCGACGTGGACCATCCGGCTCAGCCCGAGGTCGGCCGCGAGGGCCGAGTCCACGGCCTAATCAGAGGATCCAAGGCACATGATCAGTTTCCAGGGTCGGAGCTGACGCTGGGCGGCGCGCGGGAGGAACGAGAGCGAGTGGATAAGGACCGCCGCGGCCAAGTCGATCCGCGACTCAGCCAGTCGGCTCAGTGGCACGTGCTCCACCTGCGCCACGCCGGAGAGGCATTCCTTCTCGAGCGCCATGTCCTCGATGCAATTGAGCGCGACAACCACAGGATGTGGATGGGTTTGAGGAGCGGTGCTACCACGACAAGACATTGCCGCCGGATATATCCTCCTCTATCTCTACTGTAAAATTTCACGCACTAGCATGCAATCGGAGGTGTATGGAGAAGCATTTTGTGGTCGGGATCAACCTTCGGCGAGCTCTCTCCGGTGGTTTTTGCAGAGGCAGTCGCAACAAATGGTTCCCTACTTTAGTGTGTGCATCACTGTACCCTGGATACTTGTGTGTGTGTTTTTCCAGTAACACTATGTGAATTTAGGTGTGTTCTGAGTAGTGAATTTATGAATTATGATATCACATTGGATATTCTTGGCACCTACTTCCATCATTTATGTTGGTTTGAAAATTAAATTAATAAATCCAGATTATTTATTATTTAAAATCATTTGACATAAGATATTTTATCATGACAAGTCAACTATTGGCTATGCATATTTTTTCCATTTGTTGTATGCTTTTCTTTTTAATATTATCAAAATATTAAATAGTAAAAATAAATCAATACTAAATATTTTTTAAGAAATTATTGTTCACTATCAATTTTATTTATTTATTATTTGTATCACTTCAACTTTAATTATTACATTTATCTTATATCCATTTATAATTTAAAAAAAAATATCCATTTGTTTCCCTTATAAAATCATTTCCACTATTTTAATCACTTTTATCAATTGCAGTTTTTTCAACATAACTTATATCCTATTTTAGTCACTTTACCAACTGTAACTTTTTTCTTTGTATATAATTTCTAAATATGTTGAGCCTAAATGAGAGCCTCTATTCGTAAACTTATTTGCTTAAAGTTTGTGCTTTCTATTGACAAGTAAGTGTACATGTTTGATTTTGAAGACTTGATAATTACCATAAACTAATTTATATTTTCTTTTTTCTTAAATTACCATATACTACTCTTATATTTATTTTATTAATTCATATATTAATTATTATAACACTTGGAGAAAAAACATTTTTCACATTGGGTGTTTACATCGATTTTTTTAAAACTGATGCAAAAAATACTTTTCACATCAGATGTGACATCAGTTTTTATAAAACCAATGTGAATTGTCATCAAGTGCATCGGTTCTTACAAAACCAATGTGAACAATTTGGTAGGCAACATTGTTTACATCAGTTCTATGTACAACCGATGTTAAAAATATAATATACAACATCTATTTAGGAACATGTATGGGCGTGTGCATAGGCATCGGTTTCAACACAACCGATGTGTGGGCCAGTTTATATAAGATGCATCGGTACAAAAAAAAAACGATGTGAAAGTGGCCCGATGTGTCCAAAAAGTTGGCCCAAAAGTGTATCCAAAAAATCAATTTTAAAGCCTGCACTTTAAAAATTTATATGTTAGTCAACATTATTATTTTTTTTTAAGACTCACATTCTCGCTCCCAAAATCTCTCTCGCTCCCAAAATCGCCGAAACCCTAGCCTATTAATCTCTCCATTTGAAACTCCCTCACCGGAAGTCCGGGTTCGACGGTGGACGGCCTCCATCGCTCGTCCATGGCGGCGCAACCCTCGTCTCAATTGTTGCCGTTGGGATCGGTTCTGCGCGTCGGCCGTCGGAGAGGATTCTCTGCTCTGGTTGCGCGCCGGAGTTTAGGTGTCATCAGCGCAGGTCGGGGTGTGGTGTTGGTCCATGGACGACGCTGGGTTAGCTGCTTTAGGCTCTGGTTGGGACGCTCTTATTCTTCTTGCTCGCCTTTCTTGCCACCAGTCACGACCTGTGCTTTTCCGCCAGAGAAGTGGCGATTGGCCGGGGCCGCTTCCTGTTCGACATCTTGCTATGTCGATCAGAGGTTTGCCCTTGTTTCTGCTGCTTTTGTCTCGGTTTTTATTTTTGTCCGCGATCGGAGGGACTTTTCGTTCCTTCCTTGGCAAATTGGAATTGGAGGCTCACGATTGGGGGGTCATAGTTCTGCTGGGATTGGTTGCCGGTTCTGGTTTGTACTCAGCTGTTTAGTTGTGTTCAACCGCTTCGGGCTGGGATGAATGGTGTGCTGTTTCAGGCGGGCTGACTCGGTGAAGCCGAGCCGTGAAGGTTTCTTCATGTGATTGGAGTGCGGGCCAGATCTTCGATTAGTTCAGGGGTGCGGGTACCCGTCTTGCTAGGCTTTTCGCAGTGGCGGGCGGTTGTTTTCGCGCTCGGGAGCCGTCGTTGGGGTTGGTTGTCTGCCGTCAATCTCGATTTATCTGGCGGGAGAGGCTGTTTGCTTACGTTTGTGTTTTGCTTTATTTACTCTGAGGTTTGTGTTTTAGTTTTTTTAGGATTGTGTTTTTGGTCAGGGCCGTTTGGCCTCTGTGAACCTGAGTGTCACCTTATTATCCCAATGGGATCAGACACTCGGGTATTACTCTGTTGGGGTCCTTTTAGTTGTTAGTTGTTTTAGTTGTTTTAGTTGGTTAGTTGTAGTTGCGAGTTTTCTTCTAGCGTTGCTAGCGGGACTCTAGGCGGTCTTCTGACCTGTCCTCCCACTTTTTCCTTTGTTGCTGCTGTATATTCAGTCGTTGGCTGCTGTGTATTCGCACATTTGTGCATTTTGATTTTAATATAATCTATCGTTTTGGGAAAAAAAGAAAAAAAGAAAAAAAAAAAGCCCTGCACTTTTAAAGATGGCCCAAAAATCAATTTTTATGTTTTTCATACAAGTGTCGAAAACAATTGGGATATGAAGCATGTGGATATTTTGTTATGAGATATATGCTAGAGATTATATCACTTGACATTATTGACTCGTTCGAACATGTAAGTTTTTATTAAAATCAACTTTTTATTGTATATGAAATTTTACACTTCAATACAGGTTATAGTGACAATATTTGTTTGTATCATGTAGGCTTTCAACATTGATGAGCCATATTAGGACGAGGACATTGAGAATATAAAAATGCAGTGGGCGAAGTACTTTCTTGAGGTTACTTCATTAAGAAAATAGACTTATCAGTTTGGTTACGTTTTATGGAATTTGAACTTTATGACAAATTGTGGTTGATGACTATTGTTGGTGTAATCCATATGAAAACTATTTTATAACTTAGCGTTGTTGAAATATTTTGGTTGTTAGTCCTTATCATGTGACATACTGTTGAATTGCAAGAATATTTTGAATGTATGAATGTTATTATTTTATAGTAATAGATTTTTGGATTTATAGGTAAAATGTATAATTAAATAAAATTGTTGTCAAATGCTTGATTTTACATCGGTTTTTAATAGTTGATGTAAAAAACCGATGTAATAATCTAAACATGGTACATCGAATTTTATAAAGCCGATGTAAGCAGACAAATTCGACAAAAAGCTTTCACATCAGTTTTCATGATAACTGATGTCACTGTAAGCATTGTTCACATCAGTTATTTTGAAAACCAATGTATGACAGCGGTTATTTTGATAACCGATGTGACATGTCGTTATTTACATCAGTTTTATCAATGATCGATGTTAAAGGAACCAATGTAAAAAGATTTTGAAAACCAATGTGAACATGTTCTTTTTTTTTTCACATCGGTTCAAAACCGATGTAAACAAGACAGACTTTTAACATCGCCTGTTTCAACATCGATTTTAAAAAGGGGTTTTAACCGATGTGAGAATGATTTTTAACCTATGTGTAAAGTGTTTTTTCCACTAGATAAATATGCAACATTCTGTTCATTGTCAAAATTCTATAATGGTAACGTGAAACACTCCGACCAGCTAGAAATCGGTTTGCCTCTTTTCTCCTGGGCGGTAGAACGCCGCGTACCTGAAAAGAACTCTCACACCGGAGGGGTTTTCCGGTGAAGAGCCTCTGATGCTTAAGTCAGTGTTTGTTCTACTCAATTCTCAAGAGTAAAAATGGATAAATCGTGCTCAAAATATAAAGTTCACCCCTATATATAGGGGTGAGATAGCTGCCCTAGAAGCTGCCCGGGTTAGCTGAGTTGGCTGCCCGACCTGCCCGTCCGTACACACACAGTGTATGTGTGTCAGAGGCGGTTATCGCCATATACCAATCACATTGCGCCACGTGTCCTCCGCACATGGAGTAAAGATTCCTCTGAAATCCCGTTGAAGGCTCTTATGTTCGACCATTCCTAGGTCGATCCTCCGACTCTTCTCCATCTGTGAAGTGGTCGATCAAGACCATTCTGCTCGGTTCTGTTCGTCCGAGACGACCCATTCGGTTTGCTGGACTCGCTCGACCTGGCTTTTTGGTGGACCAGTTTACTCCTTTAGGTATAATATCCCATATCATATAAATTTTTTATTTGTATTTTATTTTTTATATATGATATATCAAAATAATCACATTTTAAGGATCTTCCATTTCACATCTATATTGCGTATATAAAAAATAATAATTTTATTTATCTTTATAAAAAAAACAAATTTTATTATCAAATAACAGTATAAATTTTTTCAAAAACAATAAATATATAATTCATTAATGCGCCATAAAATAATTATTTTAATGTGTATTTTTCATAGATTTTGGATAAAATATGTAAATTAAGTATTAAATAAAATAAATTTTAAGAAATATATAAAATATTATTTCTTAATATAAATAGATTATATAAATAACTTAATGTTGTTATGTTGTTTAAAACAATAAATATAAAAGAATATCATAATTAAAAAAACGAATAATTTATATTCCGTAAAGTTAGAAAAGAATACATTTTATATAAATAATGTTCCAAATTATTTAATTATATGAGTTTAAAATACTTATTTTTTTTTTCTGAAACGATAGGCATATTATAGGTCAAAACGCACAACTGTGCAAAAAAGCAGCTTATGGCTGAATATTACAACCAGGAACTAGAAACTGGGAGAACGGATCGAAATCGCCTAGAGCCTCTCTAGCCACGCTAGAAAAGAAATCACACAACACACAACTAAAAGACACCAACACACCAACTACGAACGCTCCCCACAGGAGAATAGAAACGCCCCCCACAGGGGAATCAGTACCGGGGCCAACGGCCCAAACCTAAAAATCAAGACAAAAAATATCACAAACACAAACTCAAAACATACGAAAACTAAAACAAGAAACTATAAATCAATAGAGAGAGCCCTTCCCCAGCCAACCAACGAGCCCAAAACAGCAGAGAAACAATCGATCCAAAAAGTGCCCGAGCCCGAGGAACTGCTACCGAAACTGCGGAACCACCTATACAGAAGTCGAGCCCAAGCCCTAAACCCGTCTCGAAACAATTCACCACCGACCGAGAGAACACGAACCATCTCCCCACATCGTCACTGCCCAAACTCCTCTAACACCACTAGAACAAGCTCGGGAGTTCCAGACCCCCACCGTCGCCAGCACCAGAGAACAGCGGGCGGGGGGGAGGGGGGGCGGGGAGAAATATGCTCGGTTCCACTATTCCGACGACCCCGACGCCACCAGACGGCGCAGCCGGCAGAGTCCCAACCGGCCCACTGAAGCACTCGCAACCCAACCCACCACAGAAAGCCGACAACTAGGGCCCCAGCCTCACCGGAATCCCCAATTGAAACTGCAGAGCCGACTCCAATCGCAGACCGGTAGAAGATTGAGAGCAAACCACTCCAATCAAGGACCGCCTGCGAAGAAAGGAGGAAGGTCAGACTCCGATCAAGGCGCACCACGGCAAACACATCCGCGTCGGCAACTGAGGGCGGACCTCCATCGAAAACCTGCTGAGAAATTGGAGCTCGCAACTTCAGGGACGGGCCGAGCGGTCGAGGCGACCACTGGCCCGAGCATCGACGGTGACGAGGAAGGCAAGAAACGCCGGACGACAAAGCTAGGGTTTAGAGTCGCGAGAGGAATTGGGAGAAAACAGCGAGAACTTGTTAGCCTAGTTTGTTAAAATACTTGTTAATAGACGAGAAACATTGACTCTGTAAATATAATATACAATCACAATATTTTTTATTTTTATTAGAAAACTCGAATCATATCCATGGAGTTGTAAATATTATATGTTTTAGACATATATAATTTTAAAAATATAATTAACAAATATCATTTTAGATAAATTTAATGTAAAAATATGGGTGTCATTTTGAATTAATTATCACTGTTAGTTATTTATTATTCATTATTCATAATTTCACAATAAAAATATAAATTATTTCGATTTTGTTATTTTACAAATATTAATATATTTAAATATCTGTACAGTATACGGTATCCAACTAGTTTATGTATTATTCCAGAGAAACATTGATTTAGTAATATGCTTGCTTATTTGGTAGATTAAATTTAGTATGTATCAATTCAGATAAACATTTCAAAATAACTTGTATCCTCTTTTAATCACTTATATCAATTATTTGGTAGATTGAATTTAGCCAAGTGAAAAGAACATTACCGTCCCCCTTCTCTCAAACTTTTTTTCTCTCTAAAAAATTTCTATCGACAATAAAGAAAAAACTTAAAATACATCGGCCCCCGCATCTTCCCGATTGTCCGTCCACAGCGAGCTACTCTTTCGGCCATGGCTGGGCTGGCGACGGTGGCATTCTTCTTCGACCCTCTAGCTTGCCTTGGACGGGAGTTTGGACGACGATGGGTTGCCCCTCTTTTCGGCCAACGTTGGGGTCGGTGAAGCTCGAGGCCTCTTTGGCTTTTGGTCTCTCGCCCAGTCTAGGGTCTTTTGGGAGCTCAAATTTGGACATGAGTCTCGTCTCCCCACCAAATCGCTTAGTCTTTCGAGTTTGATCGGAGTTTATAGGTTTGGGAGCTTTAGATCTGATGGACTTATCTCGTCTTTGGATCAGTGAATTGATCTATGTTCTTGGGATGGGTATAAACTGCAAGAGGACTCCCCTGTCTAGGAACTTTTGGGAGCTCAAATTTGGGCATGAGTCTCGTCTTCCCGCCAAATCTGCAGTCTTTCGAGTTTGATCGGAGGTTATAGGTTTTGTCTTTGGATCTGAGGACTGATGTATGTGCTTGGGACGAGTATCAACGGCAGGAGGACCTCTAAACATGGAGAGAGTTGTACTCTGTTTTTGTTTGTAGATGTGTATTGTTTTT